CTTTTTTCTTTAAAATGGTTACATTAATCATGTTTGTTATATATTTTTTTATTAAAATGGAAGTTATTTTCCTAAATAATGTAAACTTGACTGACTGCTTCATTTCCACTTTAACACGTTTGGGAATATTTTGAATAAAAGAAAAAATAAATAAAACATAAGCCTATATCAGTTATACAGTGCTATTGTGGCTGCTGTGTGTCACATGACAAGCATGACGCCACTGACACTACAATACAAAATCATTTGTCAGATAACTGAAACATGATGAAACATTCATTTGAGTTTAAATTGTTATAGTTTACTTGTAGAGAATGCAGTGATAAATGACATGGTGAAAAATGACTGAATTAATAATACTGACAGTAGGTTAAAATTACACCCCCCACCCACCCCCGTCTCAATCTCGTGTAAATTAATCTCAGCAGCGTGGTGTTGATCAATTAAAACAACGCAGCGCGTATTCATACTGCTCCGCAGACGTTCATGTGTTTTCACCTGCACATAAGATAATGAAGATCGATATTACATTTACATTTAGTCATTTAGCAGACGCTAAGCGACTTACAAATTAGGACAATGGAAGCAACAAAAGAGCAATGATATGCAAGTGCAAGTCTCTGTTAGCTTAATGTAGTACACGTAACAAGTTTTTTTTTTAATTATATAATAAATAAAAATAAAACAGTAGAATAGAAAAAGAATACAGCAAGCTAGTGTTAGAGGCCCTTTTTTTGCTTTTTAATTGTATAATAAAATAGATAGAATACAAAAAGATTAGAGAAGCTAGTGTTCCCCTTCAAGAACTCGAGCTGCCTCGAGATTCGCTTTGGGAACGCCCCTGCGTGACCGCGTTCTGAAGCACGTGTAAAATCAGTCCAATGGAGCAGCGAGACGTCACGAGCGGGATGACGTGAGCGCCAGGAAGTATAAAAGCGCATCCGGCAGAGCGCAAGTTAGCTTCTGCTCTTCAGTAGCGCTCTGTGTATGTGTCAGTCTATTTACTGTTGTCTGTCAGTCCACAAGCCACTATCTATGGCGAGCAAACGGCATTACAGACGTTGTGTGCCTCCCTGGCCAGTCTATCTGGCAGGGGGGGATACACAAGATCCAGCTTTCGAGGGAGCTGATTGTCATCACTGCGAGTTACTCTCGCTGCGTATGCTCCGCTCTCGCCTGGCTGTGTTTGATGAGAGCGGCCAGACTCGCGATCCCGCTGGCAGCGGTCCCGCTGTTGCCGAGGCACGGCGTAGACTGTTGTCGTGGGGATCGCGGGTGGATTTAGCGGAGGGATCCGAGACGGGCTCGTCCTTTTCTCGGTCCTCACCCACTAGACGCTTCATCTATCTTCCTCCGAGGAGGTGGATGTGATGAGTGTCGAGACAGAGGAGACTGTGGTCACCTCAGTCCTTCGCGTATGAGGTGTGACTCGTGCAGTAGCCAAAATAAAATATC